GCCATTGCTTCTAGGTTGGAGGCCATTGCTTATAGGTTGGAGGCCATTGCTTCTAGGTTGGAAGCTATAATTAGGTAGTCATGGATGATCACGAGTCTGATGGATGATCATGGATCTCTACTATTTTCGTCGCCCAAAAGCGCTCAAGTCTCAGGTGTTCACCGGGAGTTCGATTCCAACATAATCCGCAGTTTTCTGGCAAGCAAAACAAGCAAGCATACCTCAGAAAAGCCAAGTACAGGGCGATCCGAGTCACGGGCAACAGATGAAACGCACACACTCTTGCAGTGCACCACAGAGCACTCTTCAAGAGAAACCCTGAAAACGCTTGAAGACCAAAAGGAACAACAACACTTTCACTCTGCTTCGCGAAGCCAGGCTCAGGGTCTACTCTCGCTTGCCAATTTCGTGAGGCCAGGATCCAAGTTGGCTCGAACTTAACAAGCTTCATTGAGAAGGTTTCATGAAGCAGCACGGATCTGTTCTTTCGCTTGTATATATTTACATGGTCGCAAATATCCACATTGAAACAGTTTTGTGCTGTGACTATATGCTGTGACTGCACGCGCAGGTGGTCGCCATCGCTTGGACATGGTTTGGGGTTCCTTCCTGGATCCTTGCATCCTTTCCACCCTTTCCTCCCTCTTCTTCCTTCCCTCCTTTAACACTCATTGCTCACAAGAACCTACAGCAGAGGAACAACAATCAAGAAACAAAAGTAACAAACGGAAGAAGGTCAGGGTCCCTTCAATAAGGCCCTTTAAAGGGGCCTTCTTATTTTGCCCTTCCTTTCTTCGCAAAACAGAATCTAGCACCCTCAAAAGCACTCCCGCAGGATGGCCTCCATGCTGAGAGCGATCTCCACGGTGCCCCGGAAGAACATCGCCACCAGGATTGCGAAGCTGTACAAGTTCAATGTCGCGGAGCTCATCAACGTCCTTGGAAAGCGAACGGAAGTAAGTTGGAGGCCATCGCTCGTAGGTTGGAGGCCATCGCTGGAGGCTACGAACAAACACACGAGATTTCAGGGTCCTTGGATGTCTTTTTAATCCCTTCAGTTGGGTTAATTAAGTGTTTTTGTTGAAAAGGTATTGGACAAGAGCCAAACCTAAATGCAAGCCTGAATGCATCACCACACAAACGCAACCAGTGCATTCTAGATCATTCCATTGAATCATAACGAACGCTACTGAATTATCGAAGTCAGCAAATTCTTTGCAAAAGCCTGTTGCCCTGAAGATGCATTTTGCGCTTCAAACAGGGATAAAAGATTTGCAGCTGTATGCCTGTCCTGTGTTTCAAAGCGCCGGGAACTTTGCTCATGTTTGTGACATGTTCCGTGGACATGCGGAAAAATGTGGACCTCGCTTCTAGGTTGGAGGCCATCACTCTTAGCGTGGAGGCCATCGCTAGTAGGGTGGAGGCCATTGCTATTAGGTGGATGTGGACCTTCAAGTGGACCTTGAAGTCACTCGCTGCAAACCCCAAATCTCCGTCTTCGGAATGTCTGCCACGGTGCCCAAGTTGCTTTTGGGTGTTCCGGAGCTTGTCAGCCACGGCCTCGCTTTTTGGACAGCGGTGTAGCCTAAACCCTGACGACCTCACCGGATCTGGGTGAGGTCGGGAGTTAATGTCAAGTCCTTAATAAACCCCACCCACATGGTAGGTCAACAAGGTCAAGAAGATATGAGATACCAGTCATGAGGTCCACCTCCCCTGAATAATGTGTTATGAGACCATAGGACCATGAAGGATGATACCAGGCTTTGAGGGGATGAACTGATGAGCATGAAGCCAGTCCATATAGGAAGCAATAATGAGTTCATACGAACCAAGGCATGAGAGGAATTGGCTGGCAACATTTGGGCTGAATTCATCAAAAAGTAGTAGGTAGTAAGTGGTAGGTGGCAGGTGGTGGTCGTAGTAGTCGTAGTAGTCGTCGTAGTAGTAGTAGTAGAAGTAGTAGTAGTAGTAGAAGTAGTAGTAGTAGTCGTAGTGGTAGTGGTAGTGGTAGTGGTGGTGGTAGTAGTAGTAGTAGTGGTGGTAGTGGTAGTAGTAGTAGTAGTAGTAGTGGTAGTAGTAGTAGTAGTGGTACTGGTAGTAGTGGTAGTAGTGGTAGTAGTGGTAGTAGTGGTAGTAGTAGCAGTAGTAGAAGTAAAAGTAGTAGTAGTAGTAGTCGTAGTAGTAGTAGAAGTAGTAAAAAGTAGTAGTAGTAGTAGAAGTAAAAGTAGTAGTAGTAGTAGTAGTAGTCGTAGTAGTAGTAGAAGTAGTAGTAGAAGTAGTAGTAGTAGTGGTAGTGGTAGTGGTAGAAGTAGTAGTAGTAGTAGTAGTCGTAGTAGTAGTAGTAGTAGAAGTAGTAGTAGTAGTAGTGGTAGTGGTAGTGGTAGTCGTAGTCGTAGTCGTAGTAGTAGTCGTCGTGGTAGTGGTAGTGGTAGTGGTAGTAGTGGTGGCAGTAGTAGTAGTAGTGGAAGTAGAAGTAGAAGTGGAAGTAGTAGTAGTAGTAGTAGTAGTAGTGGTAGTAGTAGTAGTAGTGGTAGTAGTAGTAGTGGTAGTGGTAGTAGTGGTAGTAGTGGTAGTAGTGGTAGTAGTAGTAGTAGTAGAAATAGAAGTGAAAGTAGTAGTAGTAGTAGTAGTAGAAGTAGTAGTAGTAGTAGTGGTAGTGGTAGTCGTAGTCGTAGTCGTAGTAGTAGTCGTCGTGGTAGTGGTAGTGGTAGTGGTAGTAGTGGTGGCAGTAGTAGTAGTCGTAGTGGAAGTAGAAGTAGAAGTAGTAGTAGTAGTCGTAGTGGTAGTGCTAGTGGTAGTGGTAGAAGATGGTAGAAGTGGTAGTGGTAGTGGTAGTGGTAGTCGTGGTAGTCGTGGTAGTCGTAGTAGTCGTAGTCGTCGTAGTCGTCGTCGTAGTAGTAGTAGTAGTAGTACTAGTACTAGTACTTAGTACTAGTACTAGTAGTAGAAGTAGTAGTAGTAGTAGTGGTAGTGGTAGTGGTAGTTGTAGTAGTAGTAGTAGTAGTAGCAATACGAAATATTGACCTGTTTGTGGGCTCGGATTAACTATGGGAGGTTTATTAACCATGACTTTACATTACAGCGATCCCCCGCACCATGCTTCAACGCTGGCACGGGCATTTCTTCAACTTCAACCTGGCCCTTACAGCATGTGCTTCAACAGTTTTTCAAGTCGCTGTAGGAAAGCAGGACGCGGATTGGTGATCTTGACCCCGTTGTCAACCAGCGTGTAGAACAAACAAACAAACAAACAAACAAACGCTTGTCAACTCAGCTGGCGGCCGTGTCAAGGCCTTCCTCCACTTGCACGCCCCAGATCCTCGGACAAGGACTTGACATTTGGATCTATTTGGATAGTGATCCTCGGAAAGCAATTTTTGTTTGGAGAAGATCTGGCTGTGGGTGAAGGGAAAATGTTGGTGGTAAACAAATCCATTTGTCTCAAAGGACACTACTAGGGGCTCCTGGCCTTCCTACTAGGAGCAAGAAGCTACGGGCTCCTAGCTTTTAGGTGAATAGGTCTTTAGGTAGAATGGGATCTGCAGAGCCGGGGAGCAAGAGCCTGATCCAACCACTGCACCATCTCCATTGCCTCAAGGTCGACTGCAGGATCAAGTGGCGATGATGCAACAAGGAAAAGCACTCTGGCTCATCGAAAAAAAGAAGCAACATGAATGAAGATAGGAGATAAAAGAAGCGAGAAGACAAAGAAAAGAGAAGACAGAAACGACGGAAACAACAAAATGAGAAGTGACAGTCAGAGACCTGATCCGCTCGGCACGGGAGCTAAGGCCACGACCTCGAGAGAAAAATAAGTGCAACTATCAAGGTTCTAACGACTTCTCGCATACACTTCAGTGACAGCATTCTTTTTGCTGCAGAGCTGAAGTCTCTGTGCTTCGCAGCCCATATGGCCACGGGTGGGTGGGCCGGGTGTGGCCATTGGCCTCCCGAGCCTCAAGACTGCAAAAGCGAACATGTCTCTAGAACCTTGCGTCTTCCAACGTCAGACTCTCATGTTCTAACGACTTCTCGCATACACTTCAGTGACAGCATTCTTTTTGCTGCAGAGCTGAAGTCTCTGTGCTTCGCAGCCCATATGGCCGTCACTGTGTCATTGGGAAGCAAGCGACCTTGTGCACCTTGGAGCTCTTCACGGTCATCTTCTGGACGTTGTAGCCATGCATCCTGCGCTCTTCGTCGCCAGGTGAGCCTAAAGCTTGCATCGTCCCATCGTAGCCGATCTTCTCCATCTGCTCCCTTGGTGCTGGTGCGGCTTCCTTTCCATCAAAAACCGTCTTCTCATTGAGACTCTTCGAATTCTCAAACCCCTTGTTCTTCCGGGGCAAGTAGTTGGCCATCCGCTTTGGCCATGCCTTTTGCCAGATCCTTCTGGCGCTCGTGCGACTCCCACAGATAGCCGTGGAAGGCGTCGGAGTTCCATCTGCCAAAACGTTTCACGATGTCCAGGTCCTTGGTGGTCTGGTACATGGCTGTGGCGCCACCAATGCGCAAGCTGTGCGAACCATACCTCGTCGTAGATTGACCATCTGCAACCGCTGCCAACTGTATCAGGCCCTGGATGTCGGTCCTCTGCAAGGGTTTTCCATTCTCCAATCTGAACAAGGGCTGATCTGCTTCAGCACCTGCAAAACGTTCAGGTTTCATAGCCTGGTAGTTGGCCAACGCGGTCACCACACAGAGCTCGTCGCCGCTTCTGAACTGGTTGCGGACAGTGCCCTGATTGTACTGGTCCGTCTGGGAGCCCTTGAGGTAGATCACGATCTCCTCCGCCTGGTGGAAGTTCATGACCTGCAGGTTGTCCCTTCGTGCCTCGATGTCATTGCCCTTCAAGGTCCTCGAGGTCCCCCATGATCGCCCCATAGTGACCAAGAACTCCGAGGCTCGCAGCAAGAAGAAGAATCCCACCATAATCGCAGCCCAAAGGATCGCCTGGTCAACTCTGCTCAGGGCCTCGCTGGTACTCAAATGCTTTTTGATCCACAGCAGCATAGCCGGCAGTACTGGGTACTTCCGCTTTGTCTCAGGCTGCCACCGCTTGTAGCCGTTGAGAGCTGCCCAGATCCGCACCTTGTGCAATGTGGGATCTTCATGCCCTGCCACCAGATGGCCCATCTTAATGGCGAACAGCCTCTGCTTGATGGTCCCCTCAGTCCTGCCCATGACGTGCGCCAAGTAGGTCATGAATCGAAGGAGTTCATCTTCATCGATCTTGCGGTCCTCTTTGCTCTCGCCGGTGAGGTACACATCCTTTCTTCCCATCCGGCGCCACAAGCACCATTGCTTCCAGCCAACCTCGTAGCCAGCCCGCGTGCCCTCCGAGAGCTTGGACATCACCGCCTCCGCAGCCAAGGCGTCGAGCCATGCTTGATCTCGCCTTAGCTCACGATTAGCATCAAGCTGTAGGCGTTCTCGACCACGACCAATCGCGCTTGGGAGGACCAATCGGTCCGGAGGCCCTGACTTCGCCCTCTTGGTGGTTTGTCTCCTCCCTCCGACCTTCTGGTCACCCTCTAAGTCGGCCTTCTTGGCAGCAAGCCATCTCTCGTAGTTGGCCCTGGGGTTGTGGTTGTCTCCCTGCCAAGCTCGCATCCAAGCACGCACTTGTTCGTCAGCATGGACTCGATCAGGGTCGCGACAAACTCCAACTCTCCCTCCAGCCTCAGGTCCCTCACTGATTCCCTGGCGCCAGCGTTCGTACCAGGACAGTAGGTGATGGGCGCTTTGCTGCGGAAACTTCATGGCTGCGTCCTTCTTGAAGAAGTTCACCTTTGCTCCGGCTTCGCGAAGCAGATGCAGCTCCTCAAGGCGCCCACCATTCAGGAGCCATTCCTCTTCTGCACTGATTGCTCGCGCCTGGACCGCCTCACCACGATGGTCAAGGACAACCATAGACCTCCCTTTCCTGCAAGTTAATGCGGGGCCCCGGATGTCGTAGGGGAGCTCTTTCTTGTCCCCTTCCTTGTAATGGCCAGCAGGCCATGGCAGCATGCGGTCCCCAGAAGTAGAAATCTTGTTGTTCAGCGTCACCTCAACGTCGCTGGCCAACCATTCCTGCCTCACCGCTCCAGCTGCCGAGTCCAGGGCGCGCTTGATGCTCGCAGGTTCTGCGGCGCTCCGAGGAGCTTCATCCGGGAAGGTCGCATCATTGGCCAGTGAGCCTCGATGAGCAACCAGGACGAACTTGCGCTTGGCCACGGGATCCCCAAAGTGGGTGGTCAGGTACTCGTTGACATTCACCACATAGCCGAGCTTCTTAAAGTCCGCCTGCATTTCACGAACTGGGCCTTCCCTCGCCAGGTCGATCAGCGCATTCGAGGGACGATGCTCCTTGACAAACTGTCTGACATAGGAACGCGTTCCCCCCCAGCTATCTTCGGCAATCGAGGCGAAAACCCAAGTGAGGTCCTCCTCCGACTGTAGGCATTCTGTCCCCTTCAGGCTGGAGCCCTCAATCGCTGCTTCACATTGATCTCGGTTGCCTGGTAGTCGACAAACACGGCCTCCCAAACGTGACCACGCTATCACCCATGGCAGATGCCCCCTGCCCAACTCGATAGCGTTTCCCTTTGCCACCACTGGACGATAAGGTTGAGAGGGGCGCTCCCCCTCCTGCCTCAGAGTTCCCAGCGATGCCCCTCCAGGCCATCTGAAGATGCCGTTCACGGACTCCTCGATGTAGGACTCCCATTTCTCCTGCGCCTCGACTTTCGTCCATCTTCGTCTCTCGGCTCAGCCAGTCCGCTGTGATGTTGTGATAGGTCCTGATGTAGAACGCCAATGTCTTGAAGTGGAATCGCACCTCGAGCATTCCCAAGACCCGGAGGATGTGCCGTGCCACCGTGCATCTAGACTGCCGCTTGGTCAACCACGACCTGACGTTCTGGTTGTCCGTGGCGTAGGCGATTATCTCCCCATGCCAAGAGCTGCTCTCTGCTGCGGCCAGCCCCACGAAGCAAAGAAGCTCTGCAAGTGCTATTTTCATGCTGGGCTCCTCCTCAAGCTCGGGCACCCTACCTAATGCATGGAGCATCACCTTGGCATCCTCCCTCATGTAGCGCTTGCCCTTCCAGTCAAGTGCGCCTGCTACGTCTGGAGTCGCATCCCCACCCACCCATCGAAGCCTGCTGCTCATACCTGGAAGAGCGAGTAGTTCACGAGTGGACAGCATGCTTTCCATCGACGATTCGAAGCTGCCCTCATAGGGGGTCTCAAACCAAAGCCGTAGGAGCGCCAACGTCTCATCCCAACAGCGCCACGCTGACTCTGAGGCGTTTTCATCCTTGACATTCGGCTGGATGTAGCCCCCCACGCACTTGCTTGGACATAGGAAAAGATCCAAGGTGCCGAGCTCCGTCCGCAAAGGGGGTATGGTGATTGCCGCATACTGACTGAGTCCGCGCAGCTCTTGAGCGACCTTCAGCCGCACCTGGCGCACCCCATACTGCAGTTCCGGCAAGGCCAACAGGTAACGCATCTTCAAGGCTTTCGGTTCAGGCAGCCTGATGGTCATGTTCTCCACATTCATATAGAGCCCCACACGATCTGCTCGGACGCAGGCGTCCCCTCCTCAATCTGCTTGTCGAGGTTCAACGCCGCCTTGCCCCAGATCTTCTCGATGGAGTGGCCCAACGCGTCAACTGCTTGCCACGGCCTCACCCCCATCAGAGGCTCCACGATCACGCTGTCATCCATTAGCCACTCAGAAGAGAACGGGGTGGGTCCATTGACGCCTTCCATCTCCGGCTTAAAGCTCTCATGGTAGGCTCGACCAGCGAGGGCGAACGCCATGTATTCTCCCGGGGCGCCACACCAACCGAAAGGGAGGCCACCGTAAACCAGCTTCACCCTGCCCTCGACTCCCACCAATTCACCGGGCAGAGCACTGCCGAAGTCCGCGGTGTCCTCGGGCGCCACGGCGTGCCACTTGAAAGCCCTGCTCACATCCAGTTTTGCGATCAAGCAACGAATGCCCGGATTTCGGGCCTTCCACCAAATGGCCTTGCGAGCAATCTGACGATGCCGTGGTTGAACTGCTGGCGGATGCTGGTACTTGTGGGTCGCTGCATTAGCCGTCATCATAGCGTGAATCGGGCGCCCCTCCGCACTGATGCTACGATCTGGCAGTTGCTTTGGTACTCGACCTTGGGGGCATTCGATGAGATTGCTGTTGCAGTCTTCTGTCGCATCCGATGCAAAGAGCACGATCCCCCAGTGTCCATCCTTCCAGGCTTTCTGGTACATCTCTTCGAGGTGCTCGATGGCTGAGGGATAGGGTTCTGCTTTCAACCTCCGAGCGGGGTAGTATCGGCGAGTCCGGACTCCATCCCTGTTGGCCGCTTTAAGGTACTGTGCATGGTCAGATTCCAAGCATCTCAGGACCTCTTCGGAAGTGGCACCAATCGTTGGGACCCCAATCACCTGCCTTCTTGCTGCCCTCAGACCTCGCATGGCTTCTTCGAGTGTCCCAGCGGTCCTCAACAGGTCATCGCCCAATTCGACGGCCTGCTTGATCACATTGGGCTCGTACTTGGGGTGCTCCCTGCAGTGGTGCACATAGCAAAGGGCCTTGTCCAGAACCTCCTCCTTGACACTCTGGTCCTTCTCGGAGTAGACAGGCGCTCCCACGTGGTACTCGTCCTCGATGGTCTCCCGCATCATCCAGCGATTGCCCTCCGTCTCTTCGGCCTCAAGAATGCAGGATGCTGATAGGTAACCCACCCGTCTTTCTTCTGCTCCGTCATCAGCATCTGGCCCGCGTCCCCTTGACCTCGACCTTGACCGTCGTCTCCGGTCCGATGAGCTGCCCGGCTGCTCCTCCGCCTGCTCTGCGTCATCACCCTCAATGCGTCCTCCATTCCAGGGATCCCAAACACCTCCTCCAGGGTAGTACCGTCTCGCGTCCGCAACCTGCTCCCGCGTTGGCACTGGGAATTCCCTGGGCGGGTGAAAGACTGGTTGGTAGTCTCTTCCCTCCGGATATGTAGGCCGCAGCTCACTTTCAGGTTCGGGTGCCGGGCTATCGGTCTCGCCTCTTTCTTCTTGTCCACGCTCAAAGTGTGGTCCAAGCTCTGGCCTGATCAAAGGATCGTACAGGTAGAAGGTGGTTGCTCCAGTCCAGTCGGCGTACTCCGCATCGATCGAGTCGGGGATGTCACGAAGCCTCGCCAGGTCCACCCTCCAGTTGTCCAGGAAGACTCTCTCGTGCGGGGCGATCTCCGACAGTTCCCTCCGCTGCGGGTACATCCATGTCCTGCGATCACTCCTAATGAGGTGGTCCGAAACCGGGCAGTCGGTCCAGTCGCCATAGTGCGATCCAAACAAGTGGGTGCGAGGCATCACGTGGTGGCGTACCAGGAATAGGTTGTCCTCTTGAAGGTCCCACCAATCCTCAGAGCGTCCGTCGAGCCCTTCGAGTGGTCGTGGTGGCCCGAAGATGTTGATGTTCCCTTCGTATGGGCGTACTGGTTCCGCCACATCTCCTGGGCTGACTTCTCTAGGAACGAGCCGTGCCATGACTCTGGCTTCATCACGAGGGTTCATACGCCTATCTTCATCACTGGTGGCCCCCTCCTCTTCCTCTTCTTCACCTTCAGGCTCCAGTGGGTCCTCCGGGATAGGGATGCCATGGCTGAACTCACCCTCGCCGATGCTGCCACAATGGTGTCCACGAAGAAGACCAAACCCTTCCTGAAACTCATCGATCTCTGCACTTCCACATCGTTCGGAAAATGAGAAGGCTGCCGTGGAATGTGAGGGAGCCGCTTGATGTGAGGGGTCAGACTGTCCAGCATGTTGGTGTCTATTTGCCCCTGCTGCTTTGTGTGGGATCTCCCCTTCTCGGCCATCACTCTCCTGAATCACCTCCAGTGCCTGTGCCACCTGAATGGTGTCCCATCCTGCATAAGCCGCTTGCACCACCAATGCCCAACCTTTGCATAGTCTCGCTGGATACACCTGTGCTCTTCGAGTGCGGGGAACTCCAGGTAGGTCAGACTCACCTTTCACGTCCATGTGTCTGTGTTGCCCTTGGCAACGACGGGAAAGGAGCAGTGCATGCAGGTACAAGCCAGGGGACACAAGGTTCCACTGACCCTTCTTATACCTCATCTCCGGCCGGTCAGTCGGCGCTGAGCCCCATTCGCACAAGTGGGTCGGCACGATGAGTGCTCCTGTAGATTGCTGCAAGCGCTGAATGGCAGGCTGATCCCAAATTTTTGGGTATCTTCCGGATGGCATCGAAGACTCCAGGATGAACTCCTTGTCGTGGTGGTAAAGTGACTCGCGCATCCGGCAGGTGAGGTCACAGAAGTAGTTGCCCTCTTGCTCGCTTGCCGTGGGGTGCGGACCTCCTTCGGGTGAACTGAAGCTTCGAGTTCCCCCGTTGAGGATGTTGAAGTCGCAATAACTGGTGCAAGGGGTTCCAAATTCCCAAACGTTTGCTGCTGATGGTCCTGGGAGCTCCATCGTCGCCTGCAGGTAGAAGTTTGCCACTTTCTCGTCCTTGAGATCGAACTGCTCGCGACGTCCTTTCTTCTGTAGGGGGTCACTGAAGAGCTCGATGGGCTCGTTGGCGGCCAGTCCTGCTTCCTTCATAGCTTTGGTCCAAGATCCAGAGCCTGCAAAGACCTCCTGCACCCTGATGCCATATGCGAAAGCGGGCCTGTGCTTCAATGGGGAGTGTGCCCCCATCAGAATCAGCTCCTGCGTGTCGACTGGGTGTTCATTGAAGCTCCACGGGACTTGAGGCGCTGCCTTTCCCTGTTTTGGGTTGTTGTCTTGACAACGAGGGCATTTGGGTCTCTTGCCAGGTACAAGAGGCGCTGCCGGATCTTCATTTGCGAGAAACTCCCGCCAGCCCTCACAAGGCCATTCACGGTCGGATTGTCCACTCAGAGTCAGCTCCGCCGCCACCTTCACCGGCTCCTCCTTCTCGATGGGCACGAGCAGTCTAATGTGGCCCCCATGGATCAGGAAGGGAATGATGTTGTTCTCACTGCCTGGTGCACTCCCGACAAGGTGGTCCACGTGGACTTGACCCCTGCAGTTTAATCTCCAACATTGCAGTGTCACCTCCTTCAGCTCCTCCAGGACGAAGGCCTGAAACAACCGGTAGTCCTTGTCATGATGGGCCCGAAGACAATCATGAGCGAAGCCTCGGACCTCCGCCTCGCGTGCTCCTATCCAGGGTGCTGGGTCTCCAAGCTCACCGATGGCTTTAGCCGCTTCATCCCATAGTCCAGCCCGGAAAGATTGTGCCTTCAGCCTCACCTCCTCCAGCGATGGCACGCGCTCCGGGTCCCAATCTCCTCCCCAAAGCAGGATGCCAGCTGCGGGATGTAGCACCAGACATTGTCGTTCCTCTTCATCTCCAGGCTGCAAACCAAGTGCACTTGCTAGCTCATCAGGTACTGGTAGCCGGTCTTTGTAGTCCAGATAGCGCCAGCAGCGCCTTTCTGGTCCGCATTGGAACTCGAACTTGCCTTCGCCGTACCCCTTTTCTTTGTGCCAGACTGTGGGGCTGACCCATGCTTGGCGCTCCTCGTCTACCCAGCCAACGGATCGCTCTTCTCCCAAGACCTTCTCCGCCTCCTGGGCTAACTCAGGGCATCCCTTCTCGGTCGCTTCCAGGAGCACCTCGTCAATTGTCATCTCCTGCTTCTCGATGATGGCGTTGAGCATCCGACCTCTTACATGAGATTGAAGGTAACTTGACCAGCCAGCGAGCCTCGCAAATGCACCGCCTTTCTCCAGCTCCTCAAGGATCCTCAATCAGGACCACGAGTCAGCTCCCTGAGCTCATCTTCAAGTTGGGTGTACTGGATGTCCTCATACTCCTCCGGGGGCAGCCACCCTTGCTTCTGTCCAGCGCCATCCTTCACCTTCTCGTCCTGCTCTGCTTTGGCCTGTGCTCTCAGCTGAGCAATGCGCCCGTCGACCTGCGCTGGTTGAATCATGGGTCCATTCTTCAGTCCTCCTCTTCGGATGAGCTGTGCCAGCACGGTCCAATGCAAACCCTTGGTGGTGTTGATGGGCTGATGGGCGTGGTTGCAGTCTTTGCCTCTGCTGCACCCCATGTGGGTTGCTCCATCCCAACAAATAGGCTTGCCCTCCTTGGTCCGTGGCCCATGCTTCACTGATTCGGCGGCTTCACGAGGACGCAACCTCTTCTCAGCTGGATATGCCTTCCTCTCGTCCTTCTCCTTCTCCCGCTTCTTCTTGTCGTTCTTGTCGTTGCCACGCTCGCGGCCTCGACCAACGCGATCTTCCTCTCCGCCAGCTTCTCCGCCATGAGGTTCTCCTTCACCCGGGGCATGATCTCCTCCGACTTTTGGTGCTTGGCGTTTGTGGTGCAGCTGGCCATAGATGATGCCCTTCAGCGCCCGCGCCTGTCTAGGCACGCATACCTGCTGGTAATAGCCTTCAGGATGTGCTAGGTCAAAGGTCCTTGGGAAATGGAAGCCGCTGTCTGGTGCCAAGGCGACGAACTTCAGGTCCTCCTTGCGGGGATTGTCGGTGTTCAGGATCCTGCAGAGTTGTCTTCGACTCTCGCGAAGCTCCTCCACCCACGCTGCCTTAAGCTCCTCCCACAAGCTGTAGCAATAGCTCTCAGGCCAGACGTCCGAATCCTGCTCGTGGGCCTTCTCGATCTGCTCAAGGGCCTTGATGCGCTCCTTCTTGTGCTCCAGGCCGATGACTGAGCCGATCATCTTGATCTCATTCCTCGCCTGCTTCAACCACAGGTGGCAAAGTGAGTTGGGTACCGGGGTTTAGGCTCGATCTTGTCGTCCTTCGGTGCCTCATACTGATCGAAATCCCGTGGTTTTGCAGTCACGGCATGGGCGACGCTGAGCTGCCAAGGTGCGAGCGTCGAATGATCCTTCCCACCATGCTGCATCGCTGCTAGCCCATAAGCGATCCCGTTCGTGACCAAGCAAGGCCACCCGTTCGTGCCTTAGCGTGTGAACACGCTCTTTTCAAGGCGTCGAAGAGCTCCTTGCCGGTGACGTCGGGGCATACCTCCACAGTCAAGGTGTTGCAACCTCGGGCCAAATAGACGTCAAGGCTCTCTTCTGACCCGATGGCACTCCGAGTGCCGGGGTTGCCCTTCTTGTCGCCCTCCGTGGCTTTCCGGATTCCTTCGAGTGCATGTACCACTCGAGCGCTCATGTGGGTCTCCTCTTCGTCGCCTCCAGCTCCGGCTCGTGTTGACACTTCCTCAACCCTGCCACCCATGCCGAATAGCTGCCCCACGATGCTGTCATTGGCTGTCAGTGGATTGTACTTGCCGGTCTCCTCTGCGGGGCGGATGAGGCTACCTTCCTCCTTCTTCTCGCCATAGTGAGCCGGGAAGAGCTTGTCCGGGGTGCTAGGGTTCCGTTTCTCCTGTGGTTTCGGTTGTTCTGCACGAGCTTCATGGTAAGCTCCATCTTCTCTGGCGCTTCTTGCGCTCTGCTGTTCGCTCATCCCCTTAAGGATCTTGATGGCCACCTCCACCTGCTCGTTCTGCTTGCCACAGTTCTTCCTGATGTAGGTCCGCATCGTGCTGCCGATGGTCTGCATGTCCACCTCAAAGATCATCTGGATCGCGTCGATCGCCTCCTTTTGCGTCTGCCCGGAGTTGACGGCGGTCAGGTAGGCCTCAACGATGCCCTCGCCTGTCATCTCCTCAGTGTCACCATCAAGCGCTGTGTCTCGGTCCAGCTTGCTCCTGAGATCGTCCTCCTCTTTCATCGCTCGGGCAAGGCTATGGCTTCTGCTCCGCGATCTGGTTCTTGGTGCCAGATTCTCCCTTTGGTGGTCATCATCGCGCCCACGAACTTGCTTGTCGATTCCCAGTTCGGCTTCCGCTGGCCAGCTAGGCCAAAGCTCCCCTTTAACATAGCCGGCACTGTGCTTCCTCACCAGGCTTGCCAAGTTCTTCTTCACCTCCTTCAACTGCGAATCGTTCAGGCGCCTCCCACCTGCAACAGTGCGGCCCTCCCAAGCTGCGAGGCGTTGCATGAGGATCTCTGGAATCAGGTACCCCTTGATGTCCAGTCCAAGGCATTCTGCATCGGGTGGCACCTCCTTCACCAAGAGCTGCGCCCTCGTTGCATCCAAGTCTTCAATGCCCTTCGCATCCATCATGTCCTCGAGGTACTTTGGGTCGATGACCAAGGTGTTGTCCAGGTACTTCACGAAGACCTCTAGCTTTCGATCTCCACGAACTCCACCTGGTGTATATCCGCATAGCTCTCCCATGCACATGATCCAGTCTGACTGGTCGTTGACATAGTTCAGCTTCAGCTTCAACCAAACAGGCTTGCCCATGACGTCCTCCTGCTCCAAGCCACCTCGTGGTGGTGATGGAATCATCACCTTCCCCAAGTCCACTGAGCTTGACCGGGCTGGTGCCATGCCACTCTCCTTCTTAGCATGTTGTGATGGTCCTTCTTCTGCTGCAGCTGGGGGCACGCTAGCTTGCTGACATTCGAACGCTGGACTGCGGCTCCGGCTCTGTGCTCTGCGTGTGAAGCGACGACGAAATCCCTGCAACATCCCATTGGGGTGTGGGCTATCCTTTCTCGCACCTGTTCCTCCTTGTTCACATAGATGATCATAGCAAAGTGGGACACCACGCCGTGCACCTTTGGAAGCCTTGTGACAAGTGAGCACGCCACACTTCCTTTTAGCTGAGGCGCTTTGGTAGACCTGGCGATGATGTGCACATAGAGGAACTCGAACCAGTTGCCCAGGTCCGGGTGGCCTGACATCTGAGACCTCCACGTCCTCGTCCAAGAGGGTCGTCTCCTCCTGGGTAGCCAGGTCGTTGCAGCCGTCTGGAGCTAAAGGCCTCATCTCTCCATCAACCACAAGGCCTATCCTCACTCCTTGACATGATGCCTCGTCACCCTCCACCTCGGATTCGGAGTCAGGGTCCAACAAACGTTCACGGCCCTCCTCATCTCTTATCACTCGGCTCACCCTTTTCACAAAACAAAGCCGGAAACAGCAGCGGGCCCCACGAGCAACGAAGCCAATCACGCGCCAGACTCCTCGACCACATAGCCCCAGTAGCCAGCGCGGTGAACCATGGGCATAACGATGCAAGTCCAGCAACGCTTCGTGATCGATGCCAGCGAACTCCTGGATGTGAAGGGTGTGCTCTGCTCGGCATTCAAGTTGCAAAGATGAATCTCGCCTGCCTCCTCCAGTTCACGACGAAACTGTCTCGAGGTGCAGCTTGACACTCCACTGAATTTGACCCTGAGCCCATCGCTGTCGATCCGCTTGAGGAGGCTTTCTTCTTGTTGCAAGCGGGCTACATGACCTCCTCTTCGAATCACAACATCATTCAGGCGCCTCCTGCTCCCCCTACCCTTCAATCGCTGTTGCAGGTAGCGGGTATCAGTGGGCCAACCAGTCTTTGGTCCATGCCATTCAATGTCCACCATCGGAGGCCGTGCGCTCGGTAGGTGTGCTTCAAGCCCATCACGGCGCCGGCAACAGCATACTCCACAAAGAGCTTGAACTCCTCGTCCGATCGCCCGACATGGTCCTGTCAGCGTGTGGATGCTGTAGGTCAGGATGCCCAGTAGTCCAGTGTTGAACGTCGCCATGATGATGCAAGCCGTCCAGGGCCACCAAGCTCCAAAGGCCTGCACGCCAATCCCATCGATGAAATAGCCGGCCCACCCTCCATCCACACGTAATCTGCCAGGTCGGTCAGGCGTCCCGAACCAAGAGACGTTCGAGACCAGGCTGCCAGCAGGCTTCCAAAAGCCCCAAATGGCGCCTTCGGCCCACCAAAAGATCTCCTCCTGGTGGGCCTCATCATCCAGCGGCACTCCCAGGTCTTCCTCGGTCACGTTGTCCGTGTCCTCCAAGGTCCCCAGGTCCACCAGAAGCTCAGCGCTCCATGGCCATCCGACCACGAGTGCGGTGAGGGCTGAGCAGATGTGTTTCCACATCATCTATGCCAATGGCCACAGTGTGTGGCCATTGGCCTCCCGAGCCTCAAGACTGCAAAAGCGAACATGTCTCTAGAACCTTGCGTCTTCCAACGTCAGACTCTCATGTCTAGGAGTCTAGCGCCTTCATGGGCCTGCTTCTGGGCTTTACCTTTTGTTCTTGTGCCCTTTTTCTTCCTGCTAGCTAGCATATATCGTTTCTTTGTTGGTGTTATTCCTTTATTGGATTGAAAAGGCTCTAAAGTGCTGGTAGTGTTGGTGCCATCCTCACCACCACACGTAGGAACATGACTCTGCTGTGAAACAGCCAAACTCAGGGTGGAGGCCATCGCTGCTAAGGTGAAACAGCGACTTCGACACGGAACTCGGAGCTCGTCTCACGTGGAAGTCACATGGCGCAGGTTTTTCCAAGCCTGCGGATTGCTGTTTAGGAGGGAACCTATCGAACAAACCAGAATGAAATTCTGGCCCCCCACGGTCACCGAGGTACTTGGGCATCCGCCATAAGCCCAAGATCACATGCACCAGTAGTGATACGCCGCAGAGCGAAACCAACACCTTCAGGACCGTGTCGGCTGAATGGAGCTAGTCAGTCGAGTGGAAAACCCTAAAAATACCACAGCCTAGAACGGAAAAACCAACAAGAGCGCCCTTTGACTTGTGAAAATCCTTGGGATCCTGGGCTCGTTCTCAAGTTTTGTCAAGGTTGGAGGCATAGCTCAACTTGCCAAATGGAGAATGAGTTGTGTCTCTTCCTTCAGCACTAGAAATTCGACGGTTTGGCTTCGTACCAACAGAAGAGGTTCTTGATCGTCGATGCCTTTGGAGATGCCTCAAGCGAAATCTACTTCCAAAGTATGTCCACTTCGTTTGCCGTTTGCAGAGTTTGTCTTAAGAGCAACTGTTTGGATGGAGAAAGCTCTGAAACTTGGTAGGTGTTCCCTATCTCTCTGGCCAAACCAACAAGACCATCATGAAGTTCTTAGCACAAAAACGTCACCTCCCATGGATGTACACCTTTCTTTAGGCTCGCTCCACCCGGACACTTTTGGCCCAGACGCCAGTTCTCCAGCATCAAGCATGGGAAGCGTGTGTCGAGGAAGAACTATCTGATTATCTCAAGATATCTCAAGCTTTATGATGTCACTTACTGTGGTGCCTCCAGCGCATGGAAGAAGTCTCTTGTGACTTGGACCTATGAAAGCAAGAAGAAGCTGATTAAGGAGGTTGGATACATCCTTCAAAAGGAAAGGCTCGAGCCCAGCAGCAATCATATCCAGACATCGAGCGGTGTAAACTCCACTTGAGCCATCAAGCCATCAAATCCCAACATTACCTATTCTCGGAGACTCCTCTTCGACGAAGAAGTTGCTGTGGGCTGTCTGGATGGCCTTCTCCTTGGATTGGACAGGCTGACGACCTTCTCGTGTCTGGCTTTGACAACCCTTGGTTGTTCACGAGTGTCCTTGGAATGACCGCTCATGGGAAAAGCTATGGGGAAAAAAAAAAAACATGTTTGTGGGAACTCGTTTTGACTCACGTTGGGACTATGGGATCCAATATGTTTTGCGTCAGATTTCCACAACGTGAAATATAAGTTCATTCCCCACCTCCACAAGGTTCAGGGAACCACAGAGGACAATCTGTTCTGCGGAGGTGGTTCGACAAAACAAGCCCCATCAATGCGTTTAATTGTGCCAGTTCTTCCAAAATCCAGAGCTTGCCACCTGGTCTCTTCATTCTGCTGGGCTTACTCACTACAGGAGCAACACTGACCTCATATCTAAACTCTGGAATGCCTTGGCAAGCAATGCTGTTTGGATAGGTCTCCACACGTAGCTTCCGAGTGAGAATCATGTCCTTTACGTAGAAGCCTGCCAACAATCCCCATCTATAAATGAATTGCGACCACACGTGAGGATGATCATGCAAAGCAAAGGGCCGTGACACCACAAATACCATGCATGCCGTGTCTCCAGCGGGTCCAACTCACTCTCCTCCATGGCCTTGTCCTGCCCAAAGAAATGCTGTGGATGAAGGAAAGCATCATGGAGAAGGGCATGGGCAACCATGCTACTAGGAGCAAGAAGCTACTAGGAGCAAAGCATCGCTACTAGGAGCAAGGACGCTACTAGGGGCTCCTGGCTGTACTACTAGGAACAAGAAGCTACTAGGGGCTCCTGGCCTTACTGATGCTCCAGCCAGAAATTACGCTTTTTGAGATCTCTTTATCTGTTTGACGAGTAAAAATGGCCCGATAGTTCCACGAAATCAAGATGGGTGGCATTTTTAAACTGGAAATCAAAGCACGCTGATTTCTTCAAGGTTAGCATCTCCCAAGCCACACAGGATCTAAACCTCCTGAACCTTTAAGCCAAAGAGCAAACCTAATCAGTTGCCATTCAAGACTATGTTCGGTAGGCAACAAACTACGTGCAGTCATCCAAAGCCATGGTTCTCTCAAAGCACAAGTGGTTGACTTGCACTTCGACCACTAGGGTGGAGACCATTCCTATTAGGTTGGAGGCGATCGCTATGTGTTTGTGTTTTTTGAATCGTCGCCGACGTGCGGGACCCGTAGGCGTCCAGCATTTTGTGCACTTCATCCACCATCCGTAGGCGCGCCAGCTGTCGCGTCGCCTTCTCGATGGTCTCCTGAAGCAACCGACCAAAGTAAAACGATAATGTTCTGACCGTCTTTGCTACTAGGAACAAGAAGCTATTAGGGGCTCCTGGCCATATTACTAGGAGCATGGACGCTACTAGGAGCAAAGCGCATTGCTACGAACGGAGCAAGGACGCTACTAGTAGCTCCTGGCCCTACTACTAGGAACAAGAAGCTATTAGGGGCTCGTGGCCTTACTACTAGTAACAAGGACGCTACTAGGAACAAAGCGAAGACGGCCACGTTTGTTGCAACCGTGGTTGCACATGTGATCTCTTCCTGCCTCATCGATGCCAGCAGTCTTTGAGAGCTCCAAGGATTCCTTCAGATAATCCTCATCGGAGTAGCGCATGGCCAACTCCTTGGTCCGTGCACCCCATCGCCGTTTGGGAGCCAAAGACTTGTTTCTGAGCGTCCTCTTGTTCCTAGTAGTAAGGCCAGGAGCCCCTAGTAGCATCTTTGCTCCGTTCGTAGCGATGCCCTTTGCTCCGAACGTAGCGTCCGATCGTTCCTGTGGGAACCTCAAAGCTGCCTCAACTAACCACACATCAATGCCTCCCTCCATGCCTTGAGGGTGTTTTGGCGTTCGGATGCACATGAACAATTAAGAACATGTCACCCACCTCCAACCTAATAGGAATGGCCTCCACCCTAGTAGCGATGGCATCCAAAGTAATAGCAATGGCCAGTGCCTCAAAAAATCTATTTCAGCTGCCAAGCATCTAGTTCTTGTCGCGCTCGCTTCAGTCGAGACTCCTAGACACCAGAATTGCCCGCTGAGCACCCACAAGTTCACTTCAGATCCCGCAATGTTCACTTCAGTTCACTTGACCTGGCATCCCTAGTAGCGTCCTTGCTCCTAGTAGCAATGCCACAAACTTTCGCAAAGTCGCTTAGGCATCTGGTTAGGCAGCTAGGCATCTGCAGTTCATGTATCTACACCCTTCGTGCACAAAGCGCAACAAGGGCATTCTGAGCTTGATATCCTCTGGGGATGGAGCCATCTCATTCTTTGCAAAGGATTGTTTCTTGATCAAGCACTTGCACAATTGGGTTCACCTGCTGAGTGTCTCTAGTTGCAAGGCTAGTGCCTACCCAAACCTCTCTACAATCAACTGCCCCCAATCTCCTGCCACGCTGCCAAGGACTTCCGCGCTGCATCAAGGAACCTCATGGCCAGACGCTGGACACACTGGACACCAACTTGCCCAAGTCCTCACGAA